TTTTGACTGATTTTTATTGTTGATAAACAATCGTTCTCGGCCGAAAGAAGGCATGAAACATCATGTCTTGTGAAACTTTTGGAATTTTACACCTCCTTTTCTTGAAGAGTTTCTCGTGTGTGTCGACTACGGTAAGCACACCGACTTTAGATTCTTTGTGAAATACTCCTAGTCCACTGCAGCGTAGTCAACCTAGCTAGACCATTCAGCTCAAGCTAGTCAACTACGGATTTAAGATTCTTTGTGAAATGGGGGCCTGTTATCTGTGACTGGGACATATAATATTGTAGATGTCATACTGTCCATGGATCGCAACAACTTCAAAATGTTCTTCCTGATATCATTTGGTTTATAATTGTTTGAGGCCAAAGATTTTTTTCACTGCTAGCTAATGGAAGCATGACAATATGTACTGTGAAGTGGGGGGGGGGGGGGGATTAGTTGATGTGTCTGGTTGTCTAACATAGTCAGCAACACCCGACTGGCTTTATAATTCATAAAACACACAAATCTGGTGTTCAAATTAAAATTAGGTTAATATTAATGAGTTAAATTTGGCAGACTCAACCATGATAAAGGGTTTTTTTAATGAGTGAAGTATATACCCTGTCTCATTCGCCCCCCAGACATATATAACGGGCGTGGGTCTACCCCTCAATTTCCCTCCTGTTCTGAAGTGAAAAAGTTAACAGTGACATGCCTTCCAATAGAGGAACCACTGGGCCCAGTGCTTCTCTAACCAGGATATGGTAAATGGTGTGTAAAATTGGATTGCTGTCTCGGTTCCCTGAGGAGGTCTAACCATGTAATAAAACAATCTAGATAGAGACAGTGCCATCTACCAGCTGGTCTCGCCCAAAATCTAGACAGGTAAATGTCAGTTCCCATTAAATGGGTATTAAAGTGACATTAAAACAAGATTATAATCATGTATTCATTGCCTGGACTTCAAAATAACAATTCACTGCAAATGACTTCTGAAAACTGTAAGGAGAGAGAGAGAGAGAGAGAGAGAGAGAGAGAGAGAGAGAGAGAGAGAGAGTAACCCCTCAGAGAAGGAAATAAAAGCCATGTGTCTGCAACACAACAATTTATAAATTCAATCAAATTTTCTCCTAGGCACTCATATGACAGTCTGATAACATCTGCCTTGGTCTTAACATTCCCGTTTAAGGTATCAAAACTCCACTGAGGGGCTACTGAGGGCTGACTTCATCAACTATCCCGTGATAATTAACTCAGAAACATGTCATAATTGCTCCCCATCCAGTGATAAGCAATGTCAAGTTAATGAACAAACTGTCATAATTGGACATTCTTCAATTCTGAGTAATTTGTTCCAATATGACGGGTCCGAACTGGAGACAACCATTTTGATCAATACATGGTATGGTTTACATCTCGTATGAGATTCCTCTTTCTCCCCAGAAGACCAGTTTTTTTACATGTGGCCATTGTAACATAGCACAATATTAGGATTTGAAGTTTAATAAGTAGTAAATTGAATCAGAAGGCCATTCCCCAGATTCTACATTACTTCTGGAACATTGATTAACTATCTGCTGCCCAACCAACGAGAAACTTCAATTCTCTGGTGTATTTTTTTTTCTATTCTTTCTATTTGCTTGACAAATACAAGTGTGGCACTGCAAGAATACTTTTACCAAATACAGTAATTCCTTACAGATTTTAATTAACTTACTTAGTTCAAAATATACCTTTTCAAGTCTTAGGTTTATCATTTCCTCCTTTATCAAATGTTCTCTTTGACCAGAAGCCTATTTTGAGTCTAAAAATTTCTTTATCAGCTTTTGGAATATTGTCAGCCAAAAAAGTTCTGAGCAACCCAATTAAACAATTTCTTTCAAATATAATGAGTTAAAACCAAATACGTAAAAACACTGCTGGCAGACAAAAATGAAAACTAACCATATGTCCTGTCACAATATGTGGAATCATCAGGGACAGGAACCCTGGGACAGCTAAGACAGAAACCCTAGGGGACAACAAAACCCTGGGAGGGACCATGAAACCCTGGGGGATCCTGAAAACCTGGGGGACCATGAAACCCTGGGGGATCCTCAAAACCTGGGGGACCATAGAAACCCTGGGAGATCCTCAAAACCTGGGGGACCATGAAACCCTGGGGGATCCTCAAAACCTGGGAGACCATGAAACCCTGGGGGATCCTCAAAACCTGGGGGTCCATGAAACCACAAGAAACCAGAAGCAGCTGAGAGAGAAGACAGAAGCAAGAAGTGACTGATATGGAGTTAGATGGTAATATGTTGCCAAATGTCTGACAATAGAAAGTCAGAAGATGATTTTGATGATGAACAGTGCCAATGTACCTTAAAATATAAGCTGATGCCAAATCCCATAAATACTGTAGTATATATAATACTTATCACAGTCTCATATATTAATATTTTGTATAAGATATACATTCCTTACATAACATTACAATAATCTATAGTGTTAACATTAATCAGCTTCTATTACATCATAGTTATGAATGCTACTGGGAATGTATGCCTTCAAGGTACAATCAACAACACTAAGACTATAATTTACTACTAAGTACTTTGTTAAAATGTTAGCAAGTTTACGGCCGTAAACAGCTATTACTTTTACTAATAGGCATATATCACAAAGCAGATGATCTCAATTAACAACATGAATTAATTGCTAAATTATCTTTTAATAGAACTGTTTTGAAAAGACTAAGTATTTCTTAATATGTCAAGAATGCAGACCCCCCCTCCTCTACATTGCCCAGGCCCTGTAGACTGTATAATATCAAGTTCAGAAAAATAAGAAGTGAAAATGAGTTGAAAGTCCCAGTAGAGGGCACAGCTGAAGACTGACCCCGCAGAGAGTGTGAGACAATCCTCCCTCCAGGACTGAAATTATGGGATGGAACGACTGCATAACAGTTGGTCAGGATGCTTTTTCATTCTGTTGACTTTTATGGCATCTCATGATTGTGTTATTATATTGCATTTCATAAAATTTTACATCTGATTTTCTTTAAAACTCTTTTTATTCCCTTATCTTTACATCCCATCTATATTCTACAGTTCTGATGACACATTCAAAGCCTTTATGTTATTTTACCAAATGTACCAATAATCTGATTTATTCTTATTGATAATAACCAGATATCTCTCTCACATAGAGCAATAAGTACATGAGCTCCTGTTACGTCAGTGGAGCCCTGATTTAATTCACGAGATGGGTGAAATGCTGTTAGTATTGATAATTAGACATGGTTAACAGCTCAGGGCCCATAGTTCATGGTCACTGATTGGATTAGTTGATATGGAGTTACTGGACTATGCTTGAACCCTCAGATATTGCTATTTCATTGCTGTTTAGACATTAACTGTCTGCTAAGTAAGATAAAATGGTGTGATACTCAGAGATGGGGACTGAATGCTTAAAACTGGAAGAAAGCCCTTCTCTTTCTCCCACTCTAGATGGCTTCAGATCAAATTGAGTAACTTTCTGAACTCTTTTCTATCATTTAAAAGGGAAAGAGACAAGCTTTTATCTCTGAATATCTGCGAACTATTTATAAGATATGACTTCACACACTGTCACATCTTACACAGTGCCACATTTAGCGCAATGTCACATCAAGCACACAGTCACACCTAACACATTGTAGCATCAAACACACTGTCAAATCTATGACAAAGTGATCACAAAAACTGAAATCTAGTGTGACCTTGACTTAATTAGCAACAAGAAGAATAGACCCAACTTAAATAAAAATACAACTACAAACACTCTCTGTTATGACTTAATTCCCAATAATACTGTAGGCCTACTCCACATTCTCCTTGTGTTATCTACAATGTATCATTTCCACAGACATTCTGCTTGTGTTCTCTACAATGTATCATTTCCACAGACATTCTCCTTGTGTTATCTACAATGTATCATTTCCACAGACATTCTCCTTGTGTTATCTACAGTGTATCATTTCCACAGACATTCTCCTTGTGTTCTTTACAATGTATCATTTCCACAGACATTCTCCTTGTGTTATCTACAATGTATCATTTCCACAGACATTCTTGTGTTCTCTACAATGTATCATTTCCACAGACATTCTCCTTGTGTTCTCTACAGTGTATCATTTCCACAGACATTCTCCTTGTGTTCTCTACAGTGTATCATTTCCACAGACATTCCTTCATCATTAAACCAAGCTTAAGAGACATATAAATCAATCAAACAAATTAAAGTGTGACATGGTGTCTCCTAGGTATGCTAGAAATTGAATATATACCAGAGACAAATGTGAAGCCATAATAATAAGTCCCACATTATGTACAGAGTAATCCAAAATGTACACAGTTTTACACTGAAATCCAAGGCCACTAAAACAACCCAAGGACAGCCTTTGACGTCAAATTCACAACACAATATCCCCTATGAAACATTCTCAAGAGCCATGGCCAATATGGCTGCCAGGATGAGATGATGTTAATTCTAAAGGAGTTAACTGAGGCAAAGAAGGACAAAACTAGTGAATTAATACTCCCAGTTTCTTTCAGGCCTGCCGCACATATTTAACTTTGTAGTGTTTTAAAAGTTCCAAATGGGTACATTTTTGGAACACCCTATATTTATATAATTACAAAAAAGTGGCGTAACTGAAGCAATCAATTTTATGTCTGTAGAAGATTTGGAATTGCAAATATCTATATTCCATATCTTATATCCTGACAGCAAGTGTGCCCCAAATATGATGTTATAACATGAAAATCAAATGATCATACCCTTTATAAATATATACACAAATGGTTAAGAGCAATAGAAGCAAATGAGCAACAATAACATGTGAAATATAAAACATGCACATTTTGGGGGTAGGGGAGAGTGGGGTGGAATAACTCAGCAGCATCACCTGACAGCCAACTTCACAACTGTGGACTGCAATAAAACTTGAAAATTGCGGATAACAGGACCAGGGGAGATTTGGTACTCACAGTTGACTTGCAGGTAGATCTTGGTCCTGTTCTCTTCTTTATCTGAGTCCAAGAAGATCACTTTGCACATGTACCAGCCCGCGTCGCTCTGTCGGATACTGCTGATCTCAATAGATGCTTGCTCTACCAGACTGATTCTTCCCGCGTACTGGGCATCCACATGCGGCGTGAATCCCTCAAACTGGAACAAAACATTGAACATGGTCCAACTACGGCACTGTTATGAAAACTCACAATTTTTACAAGGTCAGGACACATATTCATGACAAAACTTTAGTACGTCTATACTAAACTTTGGTATATTTCCATCCTGTAAAATTAGTGATGGTCCATTAACATATAGTCAATATTTCTCTTAAGCTTTGTCCATTTCTTTCAGTATGTACAACAGGCAGAATCTCACTGAAGTGGGCTACCACTGATTTACTTTTGCTCTGAAAATTTTCAACTTTTGAGTTAGATGATAGGCTAATTGGTGTGTCAGCCAACAGAATAGCCTACCTGTGTAAGAATAGCCTACCTGTGTCAGTATAGCATACCTGTGTCGGTATATCATACCTGTGTCAGTATATCATACCTGTCAGTATAGCCTACCTGTGTCAGTATATCATACCTGTGTCAGTATAGCCTACATGTGTCAGTATAGCCTACCTGTGTCAGTATATCATACCTGTGTCGGTATATCATACCTGTGTCAGTATATCATACCTGTCAGTATAGCCTACCTGTGTCAGTATATCATACCTGTGTTGGTATATCATACCTGTGTTAGAACAGCCTACCTGTGCAAAGATCGCTTGTTCCAGCCCTTCCTTCTTCCATTCGATCATATTGTCCACAAATTTACCACCAGGGTAGTTGATGTTACACTCCAGGATTTCGTTGCTGCCTTCGTTGACTATCTTCTTCACTGAGCCTAGAACAGAGACAGATCAAATCATTTATCAAACCCAAGAGTTGGCATTAGAGGGGGCACAACAACTTGAATGTTGATTTACACCCGGATACACCCACTGCCTGCCTGCCCCCCACCCCCCTCCCCACCCCCCTCC